GATAAATCGATAGCTGTATTATGTATTGTAATGTTAGTTTATCAAAACCGTATCAAATCGTATTATTATTTATGATATTATATTATTGTAAATAGAACCACTTATAAACCAACTTGTATACATATCTACCTATATCTCTACCTATCTTACTTCATACCTACCTAAACTACCTACCTACCTAAACTAACTACCTACCTAAAACTCTAACTACACCAAACCTATAGGGTATAGTATCTTTCTTCCTAGTATCTATACTATATGCCTACCTAATACCTATAACCTACCTAAATAATGCCTATAATACCAACCTACCCACCCATAGATACATCTCTACCTTCCAAGTACCTACATTTATATACCTGCACCAACTATATATATATATACTACCCAGAAACCAACTCTTGGTCCTATAATCAATCTCTTTAGAACCACCTACCTTATACCTACCTACCTACCTACCTACCTATTAACCCTCCTCTTTGCCGTTATACGTACACCTTTAGTAAACTAAAGTTCATTTCATTTTTTTAAATTCTTCTTTTTAAAAAGAGAAAATATAATTTGAAATATTCTTAAGTCTTTCTAGGAATGAGGTGGTCTCAAAGTCGTACCGGCAATTCCACGTAACACTAACTTAGCATAGATATTGTGCAATGTACATCGTTACCCACAAAGAATGCGACTGTAAGACTTGAAACTCTTCAAATATGACTATTCGAAGTTTAAATTGAGTGCACTGACTGGGATGAGGTCTTTTAATTGGTTATTTAATGATTTGACAGAAAAACAGTAAAAAAGTCCGTAAAGTCTTCTTTGAAGTCTCTACCTTAGTGGGTACAGTGTACATGCGTATCTCGCTTAGTGGGTACAGTGTACATGCGTATCTCGCATAGTGGGTACAGTGCACATGCGTATCTCGCTTAGTGGGTACAGTGTACATTCGTATCTCGCTTAGTATGTGCAGTGTACATGCGTATCTCGCTTAGTATGTACAGTGTACTTGCGTATCTCGCTTAGTATGTACAGTGTACATGCGTATCTCGCTTAGTATGTACAGTGTACATGCGCATCTCGCTCGTGCCAAATATACAAGATTTATTTACCTTGTGAACTATTAGAAGGAGGAGGCGTATTCAGATCGCTTAGGGGCGTGTCCCTCCCCGGTGTAGCTGGTTCAGAACTCGACCCAGAGGGGGTGTGGCTTCTGTATGTAGAGGCAAAGGAGGTGTGGCAAGGTTCTACAGTTTGCCCCCTGAGTATAGCAAGGTGGGTGTGTAGGAGCTCCCCCGCCTGCCCCGCCCTGGCTACAAACTCTTCCCGGCTAAGGGAGCATAGGTCCCGCCCCCTGGAGG